CTGAAATTTTAAAAACTGTTAGGCTCTATAAAAGTGTTAGATTCTAAGTACAATATATTATATATATGTATACATGTATATAATATAATTAAAATTAAAAATTATTATTATTATATATTGTACTTAGAATGCTTAATATTGAAAACTTTAAAGCATCTTACATGGCTTGGTTCAGTAACTGCAAGAATCCACATCGCATCAGTTATATATTAGATAAAGCCGTCACTTTTAATATTAATCATGATCACACACCTCATTTTCAAAACTACTTAACTTACCCTAACTAATTCCAAACCTTTAAAATTTGATGTCTGTCAAATAAACGTACCATTAAATCTTTAAGTGGTTGCTATGTAACATTATATTATGCAATACTTACTTTACTTTAACATAATATATGTATTAATATTAATGCATTAATATTATATAATGGTATTCTGATATAATTTGAGGATTATAAGCCCAGCGGAACGCATAAATTATGAGCTCGGATTATACACGTACAGGGTTATACACTGGAGATATTTGTGTCTTTCATGACACTTTCACCCGATACCACCCAACTCTACACGTCACATTGGTTTAGAGCTGCCGAGATACAGTGCTACGTAATGTACGTTGAAACATATAATTGATTAAATTGTTGGTATGATCAGGATGGTAACGGTCAGGATGTATTTTAGAATGTTCCAGAGTAAAGTACGTCAAGTTCTTGGGACTGATATATAATACTTCTTGCCTCTAAATGTAAATAGAGTGAGTTATGTGCTATCTTACTATGACACTAACCATGGGCACTTCTTTGGACAGATGAATGAGTGCGATCCGACACCGCAACTAAATTCCAGAAAGTAGAATATCAGCTCAGTAGCTGTAGCTCTGTAGGACTAAGGGAGCAAGGTTCTTAAATTTTTTACTGATTTTATGATTTCTCGAAAAATGAATGCAGTAATTATTGAAGTCTTTCCTTATCTAGACTCTTAAGTCTTAATATAATATAATACATTCTAATCTGAGAAAGAACAGCTGGTAAATAAATTAGCCAGGCCAATGCTCGCTGCAGGGATCTCTCGGCAGACATTTATAATACCGTCGGTGTGCTTTGATCAGGTAAGAAAAAAACCGGGTGAGTGTTTTTGGCACAGTTTCAATGAATATTGCCGTTTTTTCCACAAAAAATGAATATTTTTGAAGTCAGTATCTGTCTTCTGACTTCTCGAATTCCATGCTTCACACTATTATTGTACTTTTACAGTACAATAACCCCGGCCCCGGTTGATGAAATGACCATTGATCATGTAAATATAGTTCATTCCTGACTAAAATAATAATTTCTAACTGTTATCCTCCCTGCAGGGATCCACCACACAAAGTCAGTGGTTGGAAAGGTACCCACCACACAAAGTCAGTGGTTGGAAAGGTACCCACCACTGCGATCCAGGTCTTACCCTGTCTCTCTCGCTCTCTGTCTTATTACGTTTACCATTTATCAAATTATTATATTGTGTGCACTCCCCACGGCTAGCCTCGCCCACAGATCTAAATTGCTTAATAGATCCTTGAAAAACACTTAGGCACACACCAATATGAGAGCTCATCGGCCTAATGGTAAGGAGTGATATAGTACACACGTGCCAGTGTACAATTGGTAATAATAAATGGATATTTAGTTGGCACTTTTACTTGGTGCTAGCCGTTGGGAGCACTGGAAGCTGGAGAGGAAGATTTTAAACATGATGACAGCAGCACGTGTAATAGTACGGATATTTATAATGAGATCATTGACAGACTGAGAGTGGCTGTTCTGCAATTACGGTCAGAAACGTCCAGTTTTCATAGCGCTTAGCTTTCTCTTGGAAAGAAAACATCCTCACTTTTAAACATTCCTCAACAGACCCCCGACATCATCTGGACTCTGACATGTACACCTTGTTAAAAGTTGATATTCGATAACATCTGATATAATGTCACAATTGTCAACTGTCAGGGACCGTCGGAATTTACTCAAATATTTACAGATTTGGATTTCATCTTAATTTTCCTCCTAAATGTCTCAGCTCTATGTCTTCAAACAAGTTACAGCATCGAGCAGGAGAATCAGTAATATATATTATATCAACTGTAGCTCACTAGGGGGATCTAGCTGACTTGCTATAATCTAGCTGATTTGCTATAATCCAGCTGACTTGCTATAATCTAGCTGACTTGCTATAATCCAGCTGATTTGCTATAATCCAGCTGACTTGCTATAATCCAGCTGCCTTGCTATAATCCAGCTGACTTGCTATAATCCAGCTGACTTGCTATAATCCAGCTGACTTGCTATAATACAGCTGCCTTGCTATAATCCAGCTGACTTGCTATTATAATCCAGCTGACTTGCTATAATCTAGCTGACTTGCTATAATCCAGCTGACTTGCTATAATACAGCTGACTTGCTATAATACAGCTGCCTTGCTATAATCCAGCTGACTTGCTATAATCCAGCTGACTTGCTATAATCCAGCTGACTTGCTATAATACAGCTGACTTGCTATAATCCAGCTGACTTGCTATAATCTAGCTGATTTGCTATAATCTAGCTGACTTGCTATAATCTAGCTGACTTGCTATAATACAGCTGACTTGCTATAATACAGCTGCCTTGCTATAATCCAGCTGACTTGCTATAATCCAGCTGACTTGCTATAATCCAGCTGACTTGCTATAATACAGCTGACTTGCTATAATCCAGCTGACTTGCTATAATACAGCTGACTTGCTATAATCCAGCTGACTTGCTATAATCTAGCTGACTTGCTATAATCTAGCTGACTTGCTATAATCTAGCTGACTTGCTATAATCTAGCTGACTTGCTATAATCTAGCTGAGTTGCTATAATACAGCTGACTTGCTATAATCTAGCTGCCTTGCTATAATCTAGCTGACTTGATATAATCCAGCTGACTTGCTATAATCCAGCTGACTTGCTATAATCCAGCTGACTTGCTATAATACAGCTGCCTTGCTATAATCCAGCTGACTTGCTATTATCCAGCTGACTTGCTATAATCCAGCTGACTTGCTATAATCCAGCTGACTTGCTATAATACAGCTGACTTGCTATAATCCAGCTGACTTGCTTTTAACCCTACCTTAGTCAGTTGAAAGTCTGATAGCATATGTTCTGTTTGATTTAACCAAACTAATGCCTTTCATTGCTTTATAATCTAGCTGACTTGCTATAATCCAGCTGAGTTGCTATAATCTAGCTGACTTGCTATAATCTAGCTGAGTTGCTACTTGAAATACAATTTAGCTCAGGGCCCACTAATATTTGATCTTCAGACGCAGCCGGGTACACTCGAATGTTTTTGTGACCTCCCAACCCTCTATACTAGTACTACTTGAGTTATTATATGCGCTCTCTATTGAGCTGGCAAAGATAGATTATATTATTATCGAGCGAGATCATGGCTTTTATCGAGGAAGAAATGGCGTTAATAGTGGCCATTTTTACTGTTAAGGTATAAACTATAATCTAAGTTCGTAGGCCACATCCCGCCTGCACCATCGAATTATTGTGCTTTTCGTTGTTTTCCAATGATCTGGATGCTATTTTTAGAATAAAAGCAAGAAAACAACACAGATTTAAACGTGATTACACTAGTATAAGGAGTGGAATGCGGACAACTACAATGAGTACAACCTTATCGCTATGATTGAAAAATGTACTTTTGGATGTAACTTTATGCCATAAGCTTAAGGGGAATTGAATTTAAACAGGAAGACTGGAAGATTTCCTAGTTGTAAAAGTAATGCCAGCTCGTTTAGAGCAATATCTTATATGGCAGACTTTAGGGAGGTCTTTAAATTGATATTACGACTAAAAAGCATCATAATTTCCTAATTAAATTGACAATTTGTTACTTAACTGATTGGTTTAGTATCTTTATCTGATTAGGGTACCTAACCACAACGTACAGAATGCTTTTAAGTACATACTTTTGAGTTTGAAGGGGACACAAACAGTCTTCCTTGATGTACATTGTACACGTGACAAGCCATATTCTTCAGGTGTGAATCCCACAATAAATATAGAACTAGAAACTCGGAAACACGTCATATCAGGTTTTACACAGTTTCGTGTTAAACAACACGATTACAGATGTTTCCAAAACTGGAACTTGCTGATATTCCTGGTTCTTGGTTTCAGTTTTATCACACCAGGACACTAAATATTATAATACCGTATGTTTTACACGTTTAGTGTTCCTGGTAACTCGTCAGTTGTTAAACTTACTTTTAATTCTGTAATCGCATTAATTGCACTAATTAATTGCACTATTTATCCCAATAATATAACAGATATATTATAACCGGACCATTTTAATTCCAAAATCGAAAATATTTAGAAATTTTATGGTTCGTTACAAATTAAATATACGCAAAGTAAAGATGTCAAGGATTTATTCACTCCGGTTTTAACTCGGCCACGTTAAAATGATATCTGGTGCTGATTCCTGAATTCACTGATATAATAACACTGATCTGCATAAAAAATAACAGCGGCAAATCTTCCATTTTACTTTTTCTTTTGACGGATTAGCTCTGTAGTTAGTAGTCACGTACAATATACATATTACATAGTAACACGACCGTGGTTAAAATGAATCATCGTATTAAGAAATTGGTATAATCTGTAGCTCTAGCTCTACTAATCATCGTATTAAGAAATTGCTATAATCTGTAGCTCTACTACAGCTCCATGTTGAGAAATTGCCGTACCTACAGTGTTAATATCTTAAGCAGCTGTTTATAACGATCAGCTACTCTCGCTTTGATAAGATGTTTAACTCAAAGACACCAGATAAAATCTATACAGATACAAAATTTTGGGGTAAATTTACTTTATATATAATTATATAATACAGTTTACATAAAAACTATTTAGTAGCCGACATAGACCATTCCTTGACGAGCACTTGTGGTAATTCTACAACAGCTTTCCTGTAAACT